TTACAGCTTGCTTATAATATAATATTCTTTGTTAATGGAAAATAGTTTATCATTAAGAGAAAAAATGAATTGAAAATCAATACAAAAAAGCTCTTTAAGTCGTGGAAGAAAATCATTCACATTTCAAAAGAAATGAGAGTTTGAAAAAGAAGCAAAGTTTGCAAGAGCATTAACGACATTATAGCCAAGCAATGCATGTGTTGGAGTCGTCTGGACGCTGCTGCTTCAGATATAAGATCAATACTTTTAGACCAACATCGAACATAACCATGTGTCTCGTTGAAGTCAGTAACTGTTTGTACCGCCAATAATTAATGAGTCCGTGTAAATAAAGAGAGGAACTTATTTCAATGTGCTACATCCATCCAGACCTTCATTGATGGCGAGGAACTCAAATGGATAATCGAACCTGTTAATACTCAATTTTGGCCTCTTCTATTAAAATATTACATATGGATATGTATTATATCAATTGTTTTATTTTAGGGCCCAAAAATAGCACCGCTTGTAATAATAACGGCCCCACCTAGAATAACTATATATACCCCTATGATGGACGAAAAAAAAGGAGGTCTGAGGGGTTATTATGATTTTCTTTTTTCCTGATCAAGAATGAGGAGGGTTACCTCTGAGGATTTCTTCTCCTTCAGAGGAAGGAAACACGAAAAATATACAAAATAATAATTTTGTTTTTAATTGTTCTTCAATCTTTATACAGTTTTTTCGACAAAAATCCAATACAAACACTATTTTCGGAATACCCCAAGTTGATAAAAAATCGCATATCAACAGTTTGGCGCTAGAAGGAGGGCCTCGTAATTTATTCGAGGTAATGCTCCGCTTTCTAGAACACCACGAACGCTACCAATTCCTGTTTCAAATCCGAGGTAAAACCGATGTAATTTATGTTTTTCGAGCCGATTCCCTCTGTTCTTGTTCCGAAAACATTCCAAAAAACAAATCTTCACTCGCTGTAGATGTCTATGATGTTCTGTATCCTTCTACGCCTAAAAAAAATAGTTCCCTTCGGGAGGTTCAGGAATATCTCAAAACTTCATAACCATTCCAAATATCTTGTTTTCAACAAGTAGCTCTGAATATATCTATCCAGACGTGTTCTGCACATTTTTGTTTCTTGTTTTTCCCCTGAAAACACAAAGAAGCGATCTAAAACAAAAAAAAAAA